ACTATTTTGCAAAATACAGGGTGTTCTATAAATAAACGGTAAAATAATAGAATAATAGAATATAGTTTAGGTCGTCAATGCCGTATAAGCTATTTCATTTATGACATACCATGACGTCACTTTTACTTTTCCTCCCTAGGGAGTAAAAGTACTTTTCCTCCCTAGGGAGGAAAAGTATGACTTTGCTCCCTGCAATGAGGTCAGGAAATGTATACTTTGGATAGAGGTAGGCGGAAAAATAGTTTGTTATACTAGGTATTGCAACTAAACATTTGAATAATGACGAGGTGAAAACTAATATTGAAAATTTGACATTTATATGTATTATTGACAACATCAAAATTAGGGGCGGCTCGGGACCAACATTTTGGGGGTTCACAGTAGCAGAATATAGATCTCGATACAGATGTAGGTAAAAAACTACCAGTATTTTAAAAAGGAATATTATAAACTTTCTAAAACACTGAACGTTTTTTCATACTTCTGTACTGATATCTATATTCTGTTACTGAGAACCCCCAAAATTTTGGTCACAAGCCGCCACTGATAAAAATCTAATCTAGTAAATATACTACAAGTAAAAAAATTTTCGTCGACTTAATTTTCATTATTTTTTTTCGTCAATTTTTTCAACTTTTTCTTATCTTTTATATTTTTCTCATCCTTTTTTTTATATTTTTTCATCTACATTTTTTCGAACTTAATTTTCATCAATATTTTTTACGTCAATTTTTTCATCTTTTTTGCATTTTTTCATCTTTTTTCATCTTTTTTCATATTATCGAGTAAAGATAAATTGTTAAAATAAATTAAAATCTGTGTAGTTTTAAGTACAAATTATTGAGTTATAAAGTATATTGGTGTATTTAAATTAAAATAACTAAATAAATATAACAATATAAAAACAAGTTAATTGAATTATTAAAAATAATTAAAAAAAGGAAATTATAATAAAAAACAACAAAAATTTATTTAAAAATAAATTAAAGTTAATCCTCCTTTTATATATAATGAGTATTCTTGTACTTCTTTGACAATTTAAAAAGTATTCCGGGGAAATTCTCATGTTTTTAAAGTTTGCATCAATTAGCGAACTTCCGGGTTTAATTCCGGTACATGTTTTTCCAAACAACAAGCTCTACGTTCAAACGTAGACGAAATAGAAAATGTCTTAGGGGAATGCATATAATTTCATCATTATTTCTATTTCAGCGAAACTATGAACAAAATAATCGAAAAATAAAAAAAATACGAATTATATTAGGAGCGAAATTCTATATGATGATTGGAAGGGTTCTTTAACGCTGAAATATATTATTGACGAAAAAAAAACAAAGACATTATTTTTATTCATAAATCTACATTTCTGGGAATTTTGGAAGTGTAAATTTGATTTACATTCGAAGAATTTTCAATAAAAAATACGTTAGTACGAGAAAGGTTGAAACTATGGTCCTCTGGTAGTACTTTTCTGAAATTTAGTTCTTTCTAAACAAAAAGAACAACATTATGTTGAAAAAGATATTTCAAAATTAAAAAAAAGTATGTTGCGAAACGTTTTAAAGAAAAAAATTTTGGAAAATAAGTTTTTTTTTTAATATCGTTTAGTGAGAAAAATTTCGTACGGGGTCACAAAAAACCCAAAAAACGATACTCTCCTTTAATTTTCTTTAAACCAAAAAAATCTGAAAACTCGTAAAATAGAAATTTTAGAATTTTTTTTTTCTAAAATAACTATTTGAAAATTCGAAAATCCACTTCCAAGCAAACATAGATATAAGTATTCTTGACAAAAAAATATTTTTGGTTTCTCAAAGATTAGTGCCAAGATCGTAAGCGATTCCATCAAAAACGTAACTCATCCGTTTAATTAACATTATAATACATATATATTTTTCGCTAACCTGATCTACCCCTTGTTATTTCGCTTATTTCTAATCAATATTTACTTGGAAGGATTATTATGTATGAACATGGGATGACAAAATAACAAATAATAATCCTCGGATTTTCAGTAAAACATTCGGATTATATTTTTAAGTAATGCACGTGTATTGTAATCATGTATACCTACGCTCAAAATTTAATTAATTCTTGGAAACAAGCTTATAAAATGAATCGCATCATCGAATGCTGCATTTTTTTATAATAAGACAAAAACAATCGAATGTCAGTACCATAATGATTGTGTTATGAAACAGATTATTCTATAATGAGTCCAGAAACTAAGCTTTACTCGTGTGAGCAGGAAAAATTATAGAAGAAGACCAAAAGTCATATAGACGTTTATATTTTTCATTGCAACAGAGACATTAAAGTAATGGTTAGATGTCTACCATCTACATCTAAACCAGAAGATGACAAGTAACAATACTCTAAAAAAAAATTGAAAAACTCTGAAAAATTTTTTTTCCAAATTTGCTTTTAGTAAATATGATTATACCGACATAACATTTACAGGATATGCCGAGGTCAGTCAATCTGCATAAAAGTACGTCTATAAGGGAATAATAATTGAGGAATTATTTGAAAGTATTCTAGTGATACAGCAATTAAGTTATCTGCTTGGTAACTAGCAGAACATTTATTTACTGGACATATATTCCTCGACTAACTAATTGGATAGCATTTATATTTAACCCCTTAATGAAATCTGCTATGCAGATCTTGCAGTAGAAGCCATCTAAGTATTTTAAGTGGTTTGATGACATATCACTGTCACTTGTGGAGACAAATAAAATATCCAGATCTACAGTTCATCAAATTTCTAGAGGCTTTCGACGGCTAGACAGAGAAAGCACCACTGACAGGCATCCCGACGGATTTACGCAATGAAAGTACACTCTGCGCATCAAGTATTTCACTATTTCATTCAGACGTAAATGTCAGATGTAAATTTCGCTAAAACATTTCTTTTATTTTCGTTTGTGTTTTTTGCTCATTACAGTTTAATAGAACCTAAGTATGGAGTTTAATAGCAAATTAAGAGGCCGCGTGATTAAAAGTCAATCTCGCGAAATAATAGCCAATGTTATAGAGTTTATGAGAAGAGAAGGAAACTTTAATTCACCTTCAATACCATTTAAAAATGTAAATGATCGTGTTGCTGCAGCCACAGGAGTATCTAAAAACACTGTCGTCCGCATTTCTGGAGAGAAAAAAAGAATCGATAACCGTGAGATATCGGAATTTTCATCACCAAGAAAAACCATTAAAAAATCAAAAACAGTTAATGTTATAGATGAAGCTGCACAAGAATCAAATTTTATTTTTTTATTATTAGATAGCTATTTTTGTTTCTGAGTTGTGTTCATTTACAGGCTCAATTTTTTTCCGTTTCTCCTTTTTGATTTTATATGGAGTTTCAAGTTGTTTTTGACTTATTTCGACGTAAATCACAACAACACACTTTTTTAATAAAGCAAACAAGTGTTAAGAGGTATATGTACGTGTAAACTACAATTACAAAAAATTGATATGAAACCCATGAAACCACCAACAAAAATGTAAAGCTAGCTTCCGTACCAGAACATGGTGTCATTCGTCGAGATAATTTATCGTTTTGTTTAATAGATCAAGAAATGTAAATATTCCCCTGTTATTTTTTATAAAATTATAAGAGAAATAAATTTTTTTCTAAATAGTATAGTTTATTATTTTGTAGAAAAACAAAATTTCGAAAATTTTAGTAATGTTTCAGAAACAACCGTTATTAATAATAGGTACCATTTTCCTTAATAAGGTAGAAATAAAATATAAACTATTTCCACGATTTACAAAGGCCTACAAAAAAATTATAGGTATTTTCCGCTATCCTATAAAATTTATAATTTCTGACTCAATTTCAAAAGGTTGAAGGAATTCCAAAACACCTTTTATGGCATAATAATTATTTTCAATTCTACATACTATCTTTAGCTGCTTTTAAAAACGTTCTAAGAAAGTCCAATCAGACCAATTTAATCCCTAAACTATTCCACACTTTTAAAATTTAATTACTTAATAGTATATTACATTACGAGTGTGGAAAGTGACATTTTTCACAAGAGTGGGAAATATTGTCTCACGAGGCGTAAGCCGAGTGCGACTATCACACGAGTGTGGAAAATCACTTTTCACACAAGTGATGTACAATATTTTTCCTACGACCACAAAATAATTTCATCAAAAAATGTAAAACCAGATTATTATAATAATTAAAATGTATTTAAAAAAATAATCAACAATAATCGTATTTATTAAATTTTCATAATTTCTAAACAAATAAAAAAAAATAAAAAAAAAATAAAAAAAAAAATCTGGCACAGCCAGGATTCGATCGCGGTCGTTGGACGGTCTCAAATTGCAAAGTTGATGCTCTAACCAACTGAGCTAACAGGCCTTACGGTAATTGATTGATCTAATCGCTTATGTGTTTAACCAGAATAAAAAGCAAATATATCTTAGTTATTTTAAAATTATTTTAAAAATAATTGTTAAAGATAAATATCTAGGATCTAATTTACAATAATTTAACAATCATATCGATTTTAGTATTAATATGGACATTACATAGATCAAAATAGAAATTATGTGTTTGACATTTTCTGACAGCTACTGCGGAAAGTAGCATATTCTCACTTGGGTGGAAAGTAAATTCTTATTTATACGCGTGTGATATATGGCACTTTCCATAGGTCTATATAGTGTGATATGTGTCACTTTCCTAAGTGGTCGTAGGAAAAAATATTAAAAACTATTTAAAATAACTTGTTTAGCAGACTGTACAATAGCTATCTTAGTCACACGTAGCGCGTTCTCTGTCTGGGCGTCGAACACCTCTAGAAATTTGATGGACTGTACAAATCACATTAACATATAGACTAACTTCATTCTTTATGTAATTTGGAGTCATTATTAATTTTATAACATGTGACCTGTAAAATTAGATATAATGTGTCAACAAATTAAAAATCCTACCAAAAGTAACAATAAAAACTATTTTTATTTAAATTCTAATTTCACAATATTATAAACTATTCATAGAAAAACAAGGAACTTCACAATCTGTATTGGTGAAAAAAAATCTTGGTCTTCCTTATAAACTAAAGATTTTATTCGTCTTCTACGAAACGGTGGCCACAATTTCTGGCGATTTCCTTTGGAATGGATTCGTTATGAGTCTAGCTACACTTTGTAGGACTGTAATTGGGATCTGAAACACGAAAAGTTATCTATAATTCTTAATTGTTCAAGTGATATAAAATAAATGATATCCTTATAATATTTTAGGAATAATTCTTCAAAAACAATGAACACTTTGTAATATAATTAAAACACTATTAGTTGATAATAAGGTCTTAATTATGTCATGTCATAATTAAGACATAATTAAGTTATAATTGGGTCCTAATTAAGTCATAATTGGGTCATAATTATATCATGTCATAAGTAAGACATAATTAAGTTATAATTGGGTCCTAATTAAGTCATAAGTAGGTCACAATCAGATAATAATTAAGTCAAAATTAGGTTATAATGGGGTCGTAATAAAGTTATATTTAGGTCATATTTGGGTCATAATTAGGTCATAGTTGAGTCATAATAAGGTCATAGTAAGGTCATAATTAGGTCATAATTAGGACATAATTAGGACATAATTAGGACATAATTAGGACATAATTAGGACATAATTAGGACATAATTAGGTCATAATTAGGTAATAATTAGGTCATAATTAGGTCATAATTAGGTCATAATTACAGTATAAACAGTATTAAAACCATATTAGAACAGTAATAAGACAATATCAAAAAAGCATTAAAACAGTGTTAAGACAACAACAGAACAGTATGAACAGTATTAAAACCATAACAGAACAATATTAAAACAATATCAGAAGTGTTAAGACAACAACAAAATAGTATGAATAGTATTAAAACCATAACAGAACAATATTAAGACAATATCAGGACAGTGTTAAGACTACAACAGATCAGTATGAACAGTATTAAAACCATATTAGAACAGTATTAAGACAATATCACATTAGTATTAGAACAGGGCTAATATAACAAAAGAACACTATAAACAGTATTAGAACAGTATTAGGACAATATTAGAAAAGCATCAAAACAGTGTTAAGACAACAACAGAACATTATGAACAGTATTAAAACCATAACAGAACAGTATTAAGACAATATCAGAAAAGTATTAGAACAGTGTTGACACCAATAGAATATTATTATGACAGTACTAAATCAGTTTAGGTCAGTATGAGATTAGCAACAGGTACGTGTTAGATTAGAATTAGGCATTAATACGTTAGTATAAGGTTAGATATTTAGGGCAGAACTCTTATCAGAGTTAAATAATTTCTTGTTTCCAAAATAAAGATTGTGCATGTTGAAAATTTTAAAATGATTATTGGATATATATTTTTTGATACTTAACATTAATAAATTATGATTACGTATAATTACTTAATAAATGATGTATCAGTTCATTACTAGGATCTAAATTTTAACAATCTGTGATCAATATTTAGCTCAGCATTAGATCAGTATGTAGGGCAGTATTAAATCAATATTTAGGTTAGTGTTCAGTCATAATTAGGTCATAAATATATAGTACTTAAATAACAATAAGGTCATAATTATATTATAATTAGGTCAAAAAGTAGGTCATAATTAGGTTATTATTACTTCATAGTTAGGTCATAGTAAGGCCATTAAAAGGTCATGTTTAGGAAAGTATTAAATCAGTATTCGTTTATTAATAATTCATTATTATTCAATATTAGAACAGTATTAAAATAGAATTAAAACAGTATGAGAGAGAAACAGGACAGTATGAGAATAGTATTAGGACAAATCTAATGAGTATTTAAGTTAATTATAAGTTTTTAGTAGTTGATTACGTATAATTACTCAATAAGTTCATTATTAGGACAGTATTGGATCAAAATTTCATCAATATACGATCAATGTTTAGATCAGTTTATAAAACAGTATTAAATCAATATTTAGGTCAGTTTTAAGTTAAGTGTTCGGTCCTAATTAAGTCATAATTGGGTTATAAAAATATCGTAAGTGTATCATATCATGATTTGGTCATAATAAGGTGATAATTAAGTCATAATTAGGTCATAATTAGGTCAGAATTAGGTAATAATTAAGTTATATTATGGTCATTTTTAGGAAAGTATTAAATCAGTATTCTTTCATTATTAATTCATTATTAAGCTAGTATTTCGTCATGATTAAGTAAGTAGTAGGTGAGTATTAGAACAGTATTAGGACAGTTTTAGAATAGTAATAGGCCAAATCTAATGAGTATTTAAGTTAATTATAATAAGTTTTAAGGAGTTATGCCACAAAAATATAATATTTTATGAACTTACTTGAAATATGTCATCAATGAACCTAGCAAACATGGTTCCAACTCGTGGCGGTTTGATGGAAGAATTTTCTTCAGGAGCAGATGGTTGAGGCGAGCTAGCTCCAGTTGACAGCCCAGTTATTTGGATGGTGGAAGCTGGTGGCTGGGCTCCAACTCCAACTGATTGGACTTGTAGAGGAGTTTGATCATGTTTCTTCTCTTCTGATACCGCGTTGACTAATACATCGTTTATTGTTGCCTAAATAAATAAAAAATATAATTAATATATGTTTCGATTGTGAATTAAATTTTGTTAAATTATCGTAAGTTGCTAGTAAGTGTCAGTTTTCAATATTTATTTGTTATTATGAAAATTATTACGCAGATTATAAATGAAGGTAGATAGAAAAGGTAGTGTTGTATTAAAAGATGTTATTTAAAACAAAAAAGTAGTCATAAGTATTATTGGTACTTGTTTCCTTTCAATAAGATTAAAAAAAAGAAAGAAACTCTTGAAAACGATATTGAAGGTTATCATTAGGAGAAATTTCTTCAATGCGGTGGTCATCGTTGAGTAGAAACGACAAAATATTTACACATTTTACTATTTAAATGAATTTGAAAGTTTAAACACGAATACCAACCAATCTGTATTTAAATGTCACTTTAATCTCTAATATCCTGTGAATTTAATGTAGTTAGATGTAAACCAATTATTTTACTATTCGAATTCAATTTCATTTACACCGTTGCTGTTTAATGAAAATTGGAATTGAAGCTATTATAAATAGGGTAAACCACGCGTTTGTTAGATAGTGACAGTTACTGATATCTGCAAATTATTGGCGTATTTATATTCATTTCAGTAAAAAGTTATTTTAAAGAATTGATAGGGTTTTTTTTTATAAAAATCCGAGACACAAGATCATAAAAATGTATTTTAAAAATAATTAATAACAAATTAAGAAGTTTTACTAAATTTTGATACCTTGTAACTTTAAAATCTGTAGAAATTTTAAAATGTTTTCGAAATTATATTTCTACACGTTTCATAAACATTTTATCCAAACGGTGATGAAATAAAGTAAATTAAGTTGTGAAGATAAACCCAGTATTGTTTTTCCCATATGAAAAATAGTATAGATACTCTGCAAAAGACACATTAATTTAAAACCCCTCGTAAATTTAATAACCACACCATTTTCCACATTCAACAAATTGTAAAATCCTCAATTTTGCATTATTTTCAACTAAAAGGCACTTTCGTGTGAAAATGTAAACTCAAACTACAATATTATGCTTTATCCATTTAGTTAGTGGTGTATGTAAATTGGAACGTCAGTTTGGCTTGCAGAGATCTACGAATATTTAATGATTCGGCTATATTAGCATGTTATCTATCACTAAGGGTCATACAGCGGTGTTTATCTAAATTTTGTGGACTTGGAAAAGCAAATAAAATGCAAAGTGTCGCCCATAAATAAAGGGTGATGAATAAATATATATTTGTAATGGAATTTAATGTTCTCAAATTAAAATAAATCAATATATATGTTAAAAAAAATATTGAGAATTTCAATAAAAAAAGTCATATTTCAATAACAAGTACTCCCCGTTTATGAAAAATTATGATTACCAGAGACACGAAAACAAAACTGGGTGCTGAATCAGTAATTAAAATGTTTGAAACATTTAAATTTTTTGTGTTCAATTTTAATTTGGCATGATTTATATTTTTAAAAATTGATGTATTGAGTAAAATGCTTCAAAATCCTAAATTAAGACCACAATATTCATAACATGAGCTAATTTTGATACATGTCATTTATGTGTCATAAATTAAGAATTCTTTTGATCAACAGATAGAGCAATAATCCATAATAATATTTCTTTTGTTCGACAGATGGCGTAATAATTTTAATTCTAAAGGGTAACTGTTATAAAGTAACAAATTTATCAACCCTAGCCACTACGCGATGATACGTAAACGAGTTCTTGACCTTGACAAATATTTTCGTTGTAGCAGGTACCTAAATAAAAGTTTTGGATTAGTAGTTTATTTTTGTGTTCAGTCACCAAAGGACAAAGATCGTTATATTATTACGTAGGGACCTATTATACTATTATGGTGTTTCGTTAAGAATGGGACATAGAACAACTGACGATTCTCTGATTAAAAATAAGACAACTAAACAAATCATGCTTGGATAAAATGTTTCTCGTTTCCGAATTACGGTGTTAAAATCCAAAAAATATTTATGTCTATATTTTTTTTTATTACTCACAACAATTCTACTTAATTTGACAAACACTTCCAGTAGGGTACAGTATTGGTATACGTATACGTACTAAATTTTTCGTCACTATCCAAAAAGTTATTTGGACATAAAATTTTAAATTTTTTGATGTTTTTTAAATAAATAATGTACTCTTCTTAGAAATTTAATAAAAAAACTCAAAATTTAAAAATTTCAGAATTTCCATATACCAATAAAAACTCCCAGGCCGGATATTTTGGTAAGTAATAAAGATATTTTAATTCTGTAAAAGTCAGTTCATAGAGCACTAAGAGAGCTTCAATTTTAGATATAAATTGATTTTAAATAGGTCAATATGTAGATGGCGCTGCGCTCAATAATTTTTTTTTCGATGGGAGGATCTTTCTTGTGTAGCGCATCTTGTAAAAAATGCATTTTTAAACAGATTTTGTTCTATGAACTAATTCGATATATCTAGTCATTTTTGATATACAGAGTGGGTCACTTAAAACAGTTTCATCCTGTTTTTCAGCATTAATCATTGGATTTTTAGAAAATGCAAAAACAAGTCGATTTTAATTCCAAATTAAAAACATTTTTACAATACAAACATCTGTCATGTGTCAACCCCCTCCTTTGCACTTCTCCGCACTTTAATTTTAAATAGGTAATGTACCATTTATGGCACATCATTGAAAAGGGGGATTTAAAAATATTTATGTACATTGCGTTACTTAAATTTTATTGCAGGATAAAAAACTACTACGTAATATAGATAAAGATAATTTTATGGGGAATTTAGAAATATGACTCTTCGTTGCGATACTTTTAATTGTAACGCCCTCTATCGGGATAAAAAACTACGTATTTTAAAGTGTGATACCTTATTTGAAAGCAAATTTAATTACTAATTCAATGTACCACATGACATTAATATAAATATCCTCCATATTGCACTTGCAATAGTTTGAAAATTAGTCATGCATTATTTTAAACATTATTGCTAACTTTATTTTGTTGCAAGTGCAATATGGAAGTGTTTATACTAATGTTAAGGTGCATTGAATCAGTAATTAAATAAGCTTTCAAATGAAGTGTCACACTTTATAATTTGTAACAGATTTTTTTATCCCGATAGAGGGCGCTAAAATTAAAAGTATCTCAATAAAATATCATATTTCTGACTTCCCCATAAAATTACCTTATAAATGATGTACCTACATGGTACATTCCTTATGTAAAATTAAGGGGTTGGAGAAGTAGAAGGGAGGGGGTTGACTATAGTTGACTAATGTCTGTATCGTAAAAATGTGTTTAATTTGGAATAAAAATCGACCTGTTTTAGCATTTTCTAAAAATCCAATGATTAATGCCGAAAAACAGGATGAAACTATTTTGAATGACTCACTCTGTATATTAAAAATGGCTAGATTTATTGAATTAGTTCATAGAACAAAATTTGCTTAAAAATGAATGTTTTATCAGATGCGCTGCATAAGAACGATCCTCCCATCGAAAAAAAATTATTGAGCGCAGCGCCATCTACATATTGACCTATTTAAAATTAATTTATTTCTACAACTGAAGCTCTCTTAGAGCTCTATAAAATGGCTTTTACATAATTAAAATATCTCCATTACTTACCAAAATATCCGGCCTGGGAGTTTTTATTGGTACACCCTGTATAGGGTGGACCAATCTTGTGCAAAAGTTCGATATCTTCCTTATTGAAAGAGATAAAAAAAATGTGTATTAATAAAATTATGGACAGGTTTGAGGTTAACATTTTAAAATTATTGGGAGGTATACAGGGTGTTGCATAGCTCGTGTACGAACCAAACAAAGTTTTTTTTTTTTTTGATGATAACCCCAGTATATTATTTTAGATTCTGTTTACTCATCTTTTTTTCATTCTTCTAATATATAGTTTGTCTATGTTATACAGGGTGGCCACTTTTTCATTGAAATGTATTGCTATCTCGTAAACCGTTGGTAACACAAAGTTGGTTAAATGGGAAAAAAGTTGCATATTTCGAAGTCCAATCTGAGGGCGTTTTGAAAACTAAAATATCAGGTCCGGTTTCCGAGATATTCGATAAAAAACAAATAAGTACCATTTCTTTATTCCGCTACAGAACGTTTATTTGCAAAAATAGACAAAAACTCATTTGGAGTTTTTTGTTTTATATCAAATTGTGCGTATGATAGCGTATTTAGTTTTTTTATCCGACGTTTCGTAAATGCAGGACCACCATCAACTTCTTTATTTGAATATGGACCAATATTTTCCTGGCTCATAATTTTAATGCATGTTCAATGTTGAATACAATGATGTAATAACATATTGTGATTAGTCAACATTTCGGAAGATTTGAACATCATCAGGTAAGTTTACAAGTACGGACCTGTGTTTTGTTAGTTAAAAATATTTGAATTAGTAAATGATGTATTATCAGTGTAAGAAATCAGGTACGTTTACTTGTATTATAAATTATTTGAAATACACAACTACATTTTAAATGCTTAAAATAATTTAATAAAAAAAAAATATGTATTTAACTACTTAATCACGTCAGAAACAAATAAATGAAAACAATGATTAACGATAAGAGAAAAACTACAGTAGTTGCTCAAAATGTCCTCCTTCTTCTTGAATACATAAGTCAATACGGTCTGTCATTTGAGCTATGCTGGCGGAAACCATTTGTGGAGTGATATTATTAAACGCATTAATTATCCTATCTCGTAATTGATTTAAGTCATTGGGAATACCATCATAATATACTTTATTTTTGATATATCCCCATACAAAATAATCCATAGGATTTAAGCAGGGTGACCTAGGGGGCCATCGAATAGGTCCATGTGTACCAAACCACCTCCTGGGAAATCTTTCGTTTAAATAATTTCTGATTAATGCAGCATTATGTGGCCCACAGCCATCTTGCATAAAATAAATATTTCTTCGATCACCTAAAGGAAGATTATCTAACATATCTTC